GAAAAGAATCATTTTTAATGACAGTATAGGCATTTTTATTCGTTTTTTAGAGCGTGGTTACCCATAAGCGACAAAAGCAACAAGCTCGAGACAAAATATTTGACGAAATTGTTTGCCGCGTTTTTCAAAAGGATTCGTTGCCTCAGGATGATTGCTTGTTTGCTTTAATAAGCAAATTTCTGGTATCAGCATTAATTCGCGGATTAAATGTAATTTCATTGCCTGCAAAATCGCTTTACTAGTGATGAATACAAAATGACTCTTTTGAATTAATGGCAATTGACAATGCAGAAACATAGACTTGTGAAAAACGATTCATCTGTGAAACTTGTGGATAACGTTTGTACGGTGACTGGACACAGTGTGGTACGGCCGCACCACCTAATTCTGGAGTGCTAAAGACTTATTTATGAAGCTAGAAAACATGACAAAAATCTTTTCCATAATAATGTGAACACATAAAATTTTTTAATAACCCTTGTTTTTCAAGATTTAATTTTGATGACTTGACTCGGACGTTCGTGACTTAATAAATAATGGCAGTAAAAAATATTTTCTATTTGTGTCATATGTAGTTTTTTTGAATATTCGTGATCATCTCAAAAATTTAATATCATTAATCTGGTCAGTCTTATACTAATATAAATTTATAACCCATGTAGATATTGCACGTATTGAACGGAATCTATTAGGCCTAAGCAAAGGAAACATGTCCACTCACACAATTAAAGAAAATGCAACCGATCTATCAGCAAAAATCATTTGTTCATTGTTTGGAAATATAGCAAATGATTCTATTTTATTTAGTGATGGTCAAAATGTTAGTACAGCTAAGCCAGATTCAAATTATTATCTCGATAAATAAATCTGTAGTTATGAGTATGTAACGTCAGAGAAAAGCTTGAATTTGAATTATAATTCCAGTCTTCCATAAGTCAAGATCGATTCATTTTATATGAGATTCTGCTCAAAATTACATCCCTTCCTAAAATTACATTATCACCTATAATGGTTCTTTAAATATTAACACCGAATAGCAGCTAATTGTGAGTAAAGATATTTGATTATTCAATAGTTGGTAAACTGCTTAAGTTTTAACCAGACGCTTAAAATTTGATCAATTTTAATGAGAATAAAACAACCTATGAAACTCATATAAAATTCGGTAATTTGCTATTAAAAGGCAAAAAGATTAATTTGTAAATATTTGGCATTAAAGGCTCAGAAAAGAGACATTGTCTCAGGCATATTAAATTATAACATTCTCCTAAAATATATTTGGTATCCATAGTCAGTGCTCTTGGCTTATTCAAAAGTTAAGACTATTAATTCGTTCCCATAACTGCTGAACACATTAAAATTTGAAAAAAAATTTATAAAAGGCCTTCCGTAAATAGAATTATAACAAGCCGAATCAAGTTAAAATGATGAAATGGACCACATGGAACGATTCGTGCTTGCTAGAGTGAATGCCATTAAAATAAAAAGTGGGTTCTTAACATGCCAGCAATATGCTAATTTGTTTTTGCTAACAGGGTGAATTGAACATTTTCTTCAATGATCCCCAAGAGATTTCCGCAAATATTGTCATAGTCTCATCTAGATTGAGAGTCAAAATTGAAGTATTCTTGCAAGCGTCAGGAAATTTAATCCTCCAGTTTAATGTCAAGTTAAACTTGATTTAAATCTAAATAGAGACTAAATTTTAAGTTAAAGCGTAATTGATAATGCAACAAAATTAAGAATATCGAATAATGTTTTGATAAATGAATCCAAGAATTTTGATCTAATGAATTATAATCGGGATGAAGGCTGATCATTCAATTTGCCAATAACTTCATTTATTCACCAACTTTGACATACTGATATTACACTTTACTTCATAATTGGCTTATTCAAAGTTTTGGTAACAAAAATGCCAAAAGAGAATAACTCAAATAAAGGATTTAAGACGAAATCAGAATCCTCTTCTTCCAATTCGAAGACATCCAACAATTCTTTAAATGAATTCGTTTCAAGATTTTTACCAGGCAAGCCGTATTTATTATTCTACTTTCCAATTTCTAAATCAATTTTCATTTCTTATGCACAATTATAGATTACTGCGATATGTACCACTCGGATTTAGAAGACGGGCACCAGAAACCGAAATTGATGTTCGGTAATGCATTTTCGTGTTTGTTTGATTAAATTCTCTCGAAAATAATTTGTTCAAATCAGACCAATATTGTTAGCTTAATCTCTAAAATAAATTATGATCACTATATAGATGATATGAATCAAGAATTGGGGAGTAACCTTTCGACTTTGCCTGCGATGCCACATCGGAGATCTGCGACACCAAATGACAACACCTCTAACATCCATCGAAATGAAGAGCACGTTTTACCTCCAAATGCGAGCACAAATTTAACAAATCCTAGGTATGTCACTTTTTTAAAAATATGAATATATTAAATTTGCTTAATTGGGGTGAAGTTCCAAAAGAATGAGAATAATGCGGCTCTCGATAATCTGCTGCGCAATTTTGGCAGACATTTGTATTCATAAGATGATAGCATGTTTATTTGTAATAAACTAAATTCGAGTACTTTGCTTTAATTCACAGATTGTAAGCTATTTACACCCACACGATTTCCTACAATTTAATAAAGATCGCGGTGTTGTCTCTAACTGGTGACTTCTGACACTCACTCACTGTCAAATCGACGATTCTCCCTTGACCAACTCTCCAGTCGATTATTTTAATGCCCCAGCTGTAATTTTAGATCCGAAGACAGAAATGAGATTGGAATCGACTTTCAGGCAGTTCATGAACAGAATATGAATTCGACAAATTCAATAGGTATGCTAGTTTGCAAACCTTCCATTTCAATTACTTGATTAATATGAAAATCTTGATGAAACCTTTTCAATCAGTTCCATCTCTTAACCCCCATAGTAAAAATTAAACTCCTATATTATTTCCGAAAATATTTAGTCCAGAAATGCAGTTGCAACCCCGAATATTTTAGGACATTTTAAGAATGGTTAATTTGTTAGCTTGGCATAGGTTAACGCATATATTTAGCTATTTAAACTCGATATTAAACGGCGGTCAGAAAGTATTTGTCTATTATTCATGCAAATTGGCTTGACGAGAATTCAAATAAAAGTGCTTTGGGTTACAAAGAGTCATATTTGAACTGATTGTTGTACTTTGTTTCGTATATAATTGTTCTTAAACGTATTCAATAAAATGCGTTCATATTCACGTTTCTTTGATGAGTTTGTTGAGACAGATCTCGTTCAATATTCAAATTATATTTATCAACTTTCATCATAATCCGGTTATTACCTCATTGGCGTTCGTGTATCTTGGATGAAGTTGTTCCGCTTCAATAGTGATGAAGCTTTTGTATGTGGAATTTTATAATCTTAAAGGTAACTGATACAAACATGATTTCCCTATGATTTAATATTCAATCTTACATATATTGCTGTAAGTAAAACAACTACCAACTATAGATAGGACGTTAAAAGAGTCTGTTATACACATATTCGTCTTACTTTTAGCTCCCTTGAACAAGTCCAATTCTATTGTGGGCAATAACCGGCTAACTAAACATGGTCCATTAGATGAAGTTGATGAGAGCAACGCTAAAATGAGTAAGGGAACCACAAATAAAGAAAAACGCTTCACTTGCGATGTATGCAATAAAACCTGTAGTAGACAAAGCAAATTGAATATTCACAAACTCAAACATAGTGGTAAAAAACCATTCAAATGTGAAGCTTGTGGAAATCAATTTTATACAAAATTTGAACTGAATTCTCACAAACTGGTCCACCGTGATGAAAGACCGCACAAATGCAGAAAATGTGAAAAAACATTCAAACGTCAAAAAGATTTATCTGAGCATATGCTTTCCCATAATGAAGAAAGGCCCTACGATTGTGAAGAATGCAAAAAAGGTTTCAAAAGCAAACATAATTTGACTGCACATATGCAAACCCATAGCAAAGAAAGGCCCCACAAATGTGAAGAATGCAAAAAAGCTTTCAAACGCAAACATCATTTGACTGTACATTTGCGTTCCCATAAGGGAAAAAATCCTACACCTGTTGGGAAAGAAATAAAGGATTTTTAGTTAAACCAACTTTGAATGAAAACGACCTTGTGCATACAGGTAAATAACCAAGTTGAGGCAAGGTATGCAATATATTGTTTATTACAAGAGAGAGAGCAGAAGAGAGATTCAAAGATGCAAAAGAGATAGACAGGCAGGGATAAACCGAGATGAGTATTGTGGAAGAGGAAGAATATAACGTAGAGTGGGGCCATAATAGTTTGAGGTCAGAAGTCAACTGCCGATTTCTAGACTTTTTTGCCGTATAAGTATACGTTGCCTAGGGTGCACCATGTGGTGGTAAGTCTGTTGTCCACTACTTGTAAACAAATGTAAATCATATGAAAAAAATTGCAAACCAATGGAGTGTAACGGCTTAAGTAAAAATCTTTTTTCGTTTTATGCCTACTGAACATTACGTCAGTTGCAATCTAGCAGTAACGAAGAGGATACTTAACTGAAATAACGTTAGCAAGCTAGCTTTTCATTTTTGCAGTCAACTTCATCTTTTAATATGCTTTTTTTCCTTAAACCAATCAAACTGTTGTTTTGTTCAGTGACTGTAAAATGGGGTCATCTCACTATAATCTTGATTCTCAATAGCAAATCGATTATAGAAAAGACTAAATAATTATAAATGCGTTAAAAATATTTTATAACTAACATTAAATTAAAAAAATTATGCTGTCTGAATAAAAGCCAAATGGACGCGATTGGCGAGAATTTTTTTAATAGGCAGAAATTGAATAAAATAGAATTGGCTATACATATTGAATTATTCATATTTGTTAAATATTTAGTCCTTTTAATTTGTCTGCATATTGGCAAACTATTAATATGCAATACCTATTGGAAGATTAATGGTTATGCAAAGTGAAAATAAATGATTGAATAGAGCTGACTCATAAAGCAAATTAATGAATTTATATTTTGAGTATAGTTGATGAAAATAAAGGCAGAAAATTTGTGTTTTGCAAAGTGATAATACGGATGTACTCACGTAACAAACATTGGCCAGTAACAACCAAACTTTGACCACATATTTTCTGAAAGAAATATTCAAATTTGATTTATTTACTTTTTTGGCGCTCATTGCAGCTCAATCACAGTTAATGGAATCAAACCTATGCGCCATAGGTCATTTGGATGAGTTCACTATGAAAGCGTTTAATTTCAGCAGCTTTTAGGTAGACGAATGAATGAAATGGATTCCATGGTTTGAAAGATGGATGATACTGGCGAGGACGCGAATCAGTTCTGTGAACGTGGAGATAATGTCTTACGGTCGAATGCGCATCGTCGGATTCATATTGGAGAACATCGATTCTCTTTGGATGCATACGAATTTATTTATTTTTAAGCACAACTCTCGAATGATTGCTCATGAACTTAAGCATATTAGAGATCAACATTAGCATATAATGTGTATAGTTTTTCAAATAGTAGAAATATACAATCTGATTGCTTACAACTTGGAGTGTATTGATGAAAACCCTTTAGTTGCAACGAATGTTTTAAAAAAACAGACTACTTGCATTTGTGCGCGTGCTGTAGGGAAACCGTTCATTTGTAAAACTGGTATTGGATATTTTTCCAAATAGATTTTAGTTAATGAAAAAGTCTTGTAGCACTAATCAAAAGTGTTAACATCAAATAAAATTACAGGTTAGATGTAAAATTAAAGAATAAATGGCAAGTTTTTCTCCTAGTTAATTGATACAGTTCCACCTATCTGAAACAGCGTTTTCTCAATTTCAAGCGAATAATTTTTTTTACAAATGACAGAAAGTACATTTTTCGAAAGTATTCACGATTGATTGGTCACACATCCAAATCCACGTGCTCTTTTTTGAATCTTATGTTTAATGCAACTACTTATTTGATCTAAAGTAGGTGATTATAGGATATAAAATAAATATTAATGCAGTCTATGGAAGGAAACAACGGATGATTATCAAGAAATTTCGATTTTCTATAACGCTGAATTCATGAAAAATGGTATAGAATTTTATTTTATGTTGAAGGGTAATTCATTTTCGTTACTCACCGGCATATCATCTTACCATAGATAATGTTTGTGAAAGCAATGTTAACCGTTGGAGAAATTCAGTGTCCACAATTTTAATAGACAATAATGTTTGTATAAGGTGGACACATTCATAGAGAAATTCATGATGCTATACAAGTGAAAAAGAGCTACTATTGAGGACGAAGACTACACACGGCGAAAATATTGGTTAAGTAATTACCTCCTGAAAGTGATATTTTACCAATTTAATGCCTGTATTATTGTTAGAATTTTGGTGAAAACAAATGAGTATTATACTTTAAATTTTCAATTAAAGAAAATAACCAAATGCATGCATGTGCGATCGTTAATTGATTTTACTTTTTTTTGTGCATCTTTCAAATCCAATACGACTTTTCATTGAAAAGTGCAAAATCATAGCTATCACTGGCTCAGTCTCTTTTCATGGATATTTAAACAAATAGTGCAGCTGTATACCTCTTACTTTGTTCATTTAGTTGAATGAACTTAATGGCTAAAATAGAATTATTTTGATAACTATCTTTGAAAACAACCAAAAAGGATAAATTTTTTACTTCGGAAAAAAATGCTGGCCAATGACATCAACCATATCACGATTCATCTTTTAATCCTCCAATCATACAATGGAAGACCACAAAGCGTACAATAATTTATTCAAATAGAAAATGCAATGATGGTATTTTTTGCAAGGTACCTATTATTTTTTGCTGATACGAGCCCTCAATCCATCAATTTATGTACGTCTTCTTCTCTTACTTCTATCATTTCCTATTGGACTTATAATAAAATAGCTCATTTTTGTAACATAATTGAAAAAAGAAATCAATTTTTTTCATTTTGATACTTCAATTTCGCTTTGAGATTCCCTTCTGCACTATTTGGTTTTATAACCTAAGTATTTATAAAACGCGTTTGATTATCATTATTATTATTATTTGTATTTCAAATGGCAAGCAGAAGAGTTATTTTAAGATGTAAAAGACACAGACAGACTTGCATAAATGCAGAGAAAAGGTATGATAAGTGGAGTGAAAGTGATCAAGTGAGTCATTTAGTTTTTTCAAATGATATTTATCATTACCCCATAAATTTTTACTTCCGCTTGCCCCTTGGGTAGGGGGGCATATAGAGCAGTTAATTAATAGCAATTCACTAGCTGTCTTCTTGCTCTCCAGTACCTCTGACTTTCCGTCGTTGTCTTTAAAGCTGAATACCGAATCAGGTAGGTCTTCTTCATTTCCTCTTGTAGGTTACATAGGGGGCATGTGGGTTGAGTGTATTCTTAATCTGTGAAGGTGTTTTGCCTGGCAATCGAGTCCAGTACGACATCTAAACTCATCGGTCGGTTCATGCATTGCAAAATTGTTATCCTCTTCATAGCAAAAATGTCAGCAAGCTCATTGCTTTTAATGTCAGAGTAATCAGAAATCTATTGCAGGACCACAATTTTTATTTTTCTCTCAGTAAGATGATTTATTAACGAGATGTTTTCACCTTTAGGCGAGGCCACCATATTCGCAATTAATTGATGAAGCTGATAATTAAGTCTTCAACCATTGGATGAAAACAGAAATCTTCTTTATTTTTTATGCAAAATGTAAATCATAAAACTTACATTTCAAACCAAGAGATTTTAACAGCATTATTAAAAAATTTTTCGTTTAATACTTCATATGTTATATTTTCAATAAACTATTACGTCAATGACAACTTAACTTTTGTATTAACTAACCTTTGACATTTTATAACATTTAAGGAGACACAACGTAATCAGGAAATGCATAAATTCTAAAGAAGAAACAGACAAATTATCGAGCAATGCAATTTTAAACACAGGCTTTTAGGGCCTTAAACAAATGAGTTGCAATCAAGCAAAATGCAAATCTTACAAAGAGGAATTGACTTCTTTTATTCGAATAATTCCACTCAACTCAAACAGAGTTTTCTTAATGTCACGCTCATAAACTTTTTCTACAGATAACAGAATGACATTTTTCGACATTTGGTGCGATTGATGAAAAGGTCTACTATTTATCTCATCATCACACATCCTAAATCACGTGCTCTTCTTTGACTATTATTTTTAAAACAACTACTTATTTGATCTAAAGTAGGCGATTAAGTTACAAATATTTAATGTCAGTGCGGTCCATTGAAGAAAACAACAGCTAATTGCATAGATATTTCTCATTTCTATATCTTTTAGTTCCTTAACAAATGTGTAGGATGTTAGGCGGGTTTTATTTTCGTTATTCATCAGCATATCATCCTCCCATAGAGGCCAAAAATCCAAAAAAACCATCAAGTAGCCTCTTGCCCATTTCTTTTGACTGTTTACATTGTATTCGAATTAGCATGTGGCTTAGTATGGAAGTGGCAAAGATTTTCGTGAAGCATGACGTGCTTAATTGAATAAAAGCATTCATCAGACAAAGATAATGCAGAATCATGTATGAAAGCAATCTGTCCAAATTTAATCTTTTATATACTGAACTAAACGAGGTGCTGTCGCAATTTTCTATATTTCAACATCTTTATTAATGGCATAGATGATCTGGAACTGAAACTCACGTGCATCAAGTGCTTACTTTATACAGATGTTCATGTTTAATAGTATTCCGCCCCCAAGAAAATACGCTCAGAAGAGTATGGATAGTATTCATTATTCTACACTTAAAATATTAACAAACTTGTGTGACAACAACAGTATGACTGTTAGCAGCTCTAAAATCATAAAATTTCATGACCTCGAATTCCATTTCAATTAACCCCATCTACGAAAATAATTTCACTTAATACAAGATATATGCAAGTGTAACGAATTGTGAGGGATGTATATTAGCAAATGATTATATAGATTTCCATTTTGGTTCTCTTGCAAATAACGCATATTTTTTTAAATAAAAGCTAAAATATGCTAGTTGCAAAAAATGCTAGAATGAGAGCAAATATTTCCCAAATCCCATAATGG